ACATGTTTATCCACAAAATTGGAACAATTTTTCAGGTAAGTCCTTGTAGCAGCAGAACTTTCCGGGCAATAAACCAGAGAGAATAAAAATATAAAAATTTAAATAGGCACCGATTGGTGTTATTTAAAATAAACTTTAAATTAAATATTGGAAAAAGAGGTTTGTTTGACATTAAATGCAAAAAAAAAAGAACTGTTTTCCCATTTTATTGTTGATTGTTCTTAACTCAAAATTCAAAAGAATGAATGGAACACGGACCCCCTGGTTTGTAGTGGTTGGTAATAATAACATTGTGAAATAAGTGTGTAATTTAAGAAAACTGTTCTGCACTCAGCCCATTCCTGACTAACATGTGAGTCAATATAGTCACATTTACTTTGTGTTTTTGTCATTTTTAAGCAGCTTTTCTCTATTTTACCAAAACAAATGACAATTCATGCCTCTCTTTACTGTTGGCAGTGTTCAAATTGATCAAAAATAGAGACTCCTGGGACATTTCTTGTATAAAACTGGGGCAAATCACTGGTTTTGGATAAATCTGCTGGGACAGGAGACACAGGACTGAAAACTGGGAAAATAAGGGTGTCTGGTCACCCTAGACAAATTGCGTGTCTTCTTTTGCCAAGGTCACTCCCGCAATTGCAATGTGCAATTTTTGGGGGGGATTTCGCACCAATGACCACAGACCATTGAAAATAACACAACGCCATCTTTGGTTCATGTTCAGGATCTTGTAATACTCCCATGGGGTGACGTCACACTCCCTTAGTCCACTTTTTATATAGTTTATGCTGTTTATAGCTCTGTTAAAGTGGAAGCTCAGGTACGGAAGCTGAGAGGGGTCACAACAAAGGCTGCAACAAATACAAATGCGACAACACAACAAAAAGCCACAACAAACCAAAAAAAAAAGCCACAACACACAACAAAAAGCCACAATGGAAATGACCGCGGGACTCTATTTTAATGCAAGCACTGCAACAAATACAAACGCCACAACACAAACGCAAATGCCGCAACACATTAAAAAACGACATCAAAAGCACAAACAAAAAGCAACAAAACAACACATTAAAAACCACAACACATCAAAAAGACAAACGGAAGTGACCGTGGACTCTAAAAAGATCAAGCGGCAAGCTCTGCATTCCTCTCTAACAATATCACGTACACTAACAGCTTTGTCAGATATCTCCCACAATTCCTTTCACGCTGACGGGTGTGTTTTCACTTTGGCGTCAGTAACAGAGAGATCCACACATTTGGATCTGCTGCTGGATCAATGCACACCACATTAGCCTGACCTGCCCCTCCTCTGTGGCTCTGTCTGCTCTCTGTAAGCACACAAAAACACACACACACTATCGATTGTCTCACACACTCACTATCGAATGGAATTGATATGTGTGTGTCTACTTAAAACTTAGACCTGAAACTACAGGTGCACAGAAATGAGGAAAGGTTCACTGCGTGGAATCGAGCTTCTCAACATTTGTGGATTTTGAAATGGTCTTTGTCTTGCCAAAAACAAAAACACAATACAGAAATTTGGGTCTGGAAGCGTGTCCTGTTATCCCGTTTTCGCGATTTCAGATGGGCGTGATTGACAGGCAGATGAACCAATCACAGACGCACAAGGCCCCTTTGTGCCAAAACAAACAAAAGGCCCGAGGAGCCCGAGAGTAGCTTCCACAGAGACTATGACTTTCTTCATTAAGACCAAAATAACTATAAATAAACTAAATGGTGTTAGTTTGACTTTGTTTTGGTACTTTTAGACCCAGAATTGTGAATCTCTACTGAACTAAATATAAAAAGAGCTGTTAACTTGAAAACTACGGCTTCATGACATCACAAGAGCTGTTTTCAGGACGGCCAGAACGGTGCCGGTGCCGGTTCCTGCACCACTTACACAGGAAACCAAAGTTCTTATCGGTGAACGACCCACGATCATTCCATTTAAGTGAACCTGTGATGTGTCATCGACAGAGGGTGTGGATTTATACGAAAGTGGATGTCACAGCAAGAAAAACAGCAATCATGGATCGCACCATCGACTCCAGCGAGCATTTGTACTCATACAATTATTTATCTGCGCCGAGTTCTGCTACAACAACTGCTGTGGAGAAGATGGCAGCGATGCCCGATGGAACCTTACCAGGCCAACACGGATATAGCAAATATCTGATTTCCTTCGCTGACCACTGCATATCGTCTTCTCACTTTTCTTCACCATATTCCACACACAAGTTTTCTTTGTTTCTTTATTTTACCACGTGTGACCCCAATGAACCTGCTGACGTCTACTGTGTCATCACGATTTGCTTGGAAAAAACAAGTTTTACTTTAGTTCCCCAAGTTTTCGGTTCCCCAACGCTCTGGTTTTTGGCATGAACATGTCAGTCGGTTCGAGATTAGGTGTGGGAATTGGCATGGCTCTCTGTCGGCCTGAAAACACTAAAGATGGAACAGAGCATTATGAGATTTGGACATGCAGACAGAGTAATAATAAAGGATTACTCAAACGTGTGAATGAAACAAAACAAAACAACTCCAGGTCTGTTTTTGAGGAGGTAACAGCATTAGAACATGACTTAAAGCTCGCAATTAAAATTTTTGTGTAATATAGGACCTTTAAGACCAAAATAACAATTTATATAGGCGAGTTTCATTGTTGACAAAAGTGCGTGTTGCATGCTGGGAATTATTTTGGTCGGCGGCAATAAACACTAATTCAACATGATGGACGGAGCGAGAAAGCACGTAAAGGGTATTGATCCCGGTTATTTTTCCACTCTAACGGCAGAGGACCCAAGACCATTTGACCAGAAATTGGTCATAAACATCGATGGACGACACATCACCCTTTTCAACCCCGACAAAAGATGGACCAAACCAAATTTCTGGTCAGAATCACCAACTACCTGGACAAATATTCACTTTGGCGATATCCACAATGACTTGGTGGAAACTCCTGGGCCATTCACAGCAGAAAAGATGAAAACCTCCAAGAGTCTCGATGTGTTGTTGAACTTGTTGGAGTCCACGGTTTGTTAGGATCTTCTACGTTTGCTCTGTGGATGTTTGAAAGCCATTTAATTCGCCGTTAGTGGTTCTTTTCACTTGGAATACAAAAAAGACATTTTCCTTCCGTGCTTCTATTTGTGCATCTGATAATGCAGCAGGAATTTACCATTATCAGGGATAAAAACGCGAGGTTACGCACTGTGTTTGACGCTACCGTGTTTCTTGCCTCCGACCAAAATATTTCCCAGCATGCAACGCGGGCTTTTAATAACAATGACGTCAGCTGAAACTCGCCTATAGTGCAGATAACTATTCAGTCCTTGTGATCTTAGCCTATGTTATCAAAGGTATAATAATCCCTACAATGGAAGCATATCAAGACTGGACTCAACTAGCCTGGACAACACAGTGTCAGAAGCAGCTCACATTTAATCAAAATCAATAATGGAAGGGTCAAACACCTTTTAAAAGAAGTTATATACTGTATTTTGTATTGAATGGCATGAGAATTTTGGAGAGGAGATGTCTCCTGCATTTGAAAAACACATGATACAAATTAGCATCTGTACGGGGTTTGTCACGCTCTACGGGCCCACGCCAGACCCTTCTCTGTTTGAAGAGGACATAGGGGGGACTGGCGGACATCAGATCCAAAGAGGTCATGAAGACATCCATTACATTAGGCCCATCGAGCCTGTCATTCCCCAATTTGCGTCAGAGCCGAATTTGTGGTAGCTTGACTTTATTTTCATTATTTTATTTGCCAGGAACAGGTACAAATTGGATCTGTCAGTTGAAACCTCAGCTGCCATTCATTTAAGTTAAAAGTACACTGAGTAACTTTTCTGGTGGAAGGTCCGTCATATTCTTTTCCACATGGAGACGTCATTCCTTTGTCTGGAATGTTTCACAGTATAGCATTAAACCTTTCTATCTTCACTGAGACCAAACCAGACCAAGATACAGGTCAGATCTGTGGAGAGGCGACCCTGCTCACAGTCAGAATGTTGTTTTTCTAGGTATTTTTGAGCTACAAATCCACCTGTAGTTGAAAAAAAATGTAAAGTTGAGCTGTTTAATGTCATTGTCACGAGCCTCGGCCATTTAGAATTCGTTACTAGTGCTCCCGTTCTTCTCTATTTGCTTTTGTGTGTATATGATGCGATTGCTCCATGAGCCCTGAACCCGCGAGAGCACCAGACGCCGGACGGAGGCTGGCGTCAAATCGCGTCGCAGATTGGCCGGTCACCCCTCCGCCCCCACCAATCCTCGGATGCTCGGGGCGGCTGGATCCCTGCGGCCAGCTCGCCCTTTTCTTTGATTTTTAATAGTCTCATTTTGTTTTTTGTTATATGGCCGGCTGTTGCCTCTGTTAGTTCGTTGAGACACCTTTGGTTCACAGTACAACTTTAGTTAGATTTTGTTACGTTGTACTTAGTTAGGGCTCCTTAGTTTAGTAGATTATTTAGTTTAAATCCTTTTTATTTTCTCCCCAGATTTGTGTTTTTCTTTCCCTTTTCCTGCACTGTAAATAATAAATGCACATTTTTTAGTCATATTGTGGAACATTCCAAGCAGAGTAATGACATTTCCATAGATATAAGAAGGTGACGGACCCCCAACGGAACCGAAAAACAGCTTTAAATAGAGTTTGCAAAGAAAACACTGGTAAAATCCCGTATTGCCGTAATCACAAAAGACATTCAAAAGCTGGCCTCCTTGCTTCTCGAGTTTTTTAGCAGTTAAATATGTGTTTGTAGTTTGTCCGTGTATGTGGTAGGTGTTATCTTGAGAACTACACAACTCCATGTATGTTTTTAATGAGGTAACAACATCATGACATGTCTTAAAGCCCTCAATGGTGTAAAAGTGACGCGCGAACAAACGTATCCCGCGGTTCTTCCAAAAAGAGAAGCCCAAAGTTAGAATAAAAAAGCAGACTTGACAGCTGTGGTGGTGCTTTAGCGCTTTACCTGGACAGGGCAGAGTACAGGGCTCCTTCAGGCTGATCCTCGCGTCTCCGTCCACCTCCAGCTCCAGCCCGCTGCACAGCTCCTCCTCCACCTGCGCCCCGGGGTCCTCCACAGAGCCGTCCGACACCCAGCAGGTGAGGTTACGGAAACGCAGGCCAGCTCCACACACCACGCTCTGTAAGAAGGAGAGGAGAGGTCAGAGATCAGAGGTCAGGGGAGAATTTTACTGGTTAAAGTGGGACTAAACACCTAAACTCCTAAGCCCACTAAAGTTGCCAAAATGGAACAGTAGTACAAAAAAATCTAAACAAAAATCAAAACTACCAAAAAAAAAAAAAATAATAATAATAATAATAAAATAAATAAATAAATCTATCAAAAAATAAATAAAGAAATAAAATAAAATAGATAAATAAATAAATAAAAATAAAATAAATAAAATAAAAATAAATAAATAAATAAAAATTAGAAGAAAAAAAAATCTGACAAAAAGTATAGTTCCTATTAAAATCCCATACATACACATTTTAGTAGTGGATTTTGTGCTTAGTAAAAACAAACGAGTTGACAGTGGACTTTAGGAAGAACAGCTGCTCACCGCCCCCCCTCTACATCATGGGCACAGAAGTTGAATTTGGAAATACTTGGGTTTGCACGTCACTGACAGTCGAACCTGGTCCACTAATGCAGCCAACATTGTAAATGAAGACCCACCAACGCCTGGACTTTTTGAGGAGACTCTTGGCTGCTGGACTAGGCCAAAGAAGCCCAAAGCCCTCATTTCGTTTTATAAATGTGGGGTGGAGAGTGTGCTGACCCAGTCCATCGCAGCGTGGTATGGTCACCGCTCAGCCCACGACAGGAAGGCTCTACAGCGTGTGGTCAGAGCGGCAGAGAAGATCACTTGATGTGACTTTACACCCATCAGTCACATTTATAAGGAGCGCTGCAGGAGATGGGCCTCCAGGATCATGGGCGACCCCTCCCACCACCTGCTTGTCCCTCTGCCCTCTGGAACGAGACTGAGGAGCATCAAAGCCACAACATATGGGCTGAGGTCCAGCTTTTTTTCCTGAGGCTGTCAGACTTTTGAACGGTGCACACCGACTCGTGCACGCTGCCTCTCTATCTCTCCACATGTTCCACTTGTACTTGTCTGTTGGATCTGCTAAATGCTCTTGATGTACTTTTTAATATTGCTTATTTATTATCGTTTTTATCTCTCTATTTATGTCTGATTTATTTATGCTTTTTCAAAATATAAAAGACAAATTACATAAAGATATAATATATATATATATATAATATTATATATATATATGTATAATATTCAAGGGAAGTATACAATGTTAATAGTTCACAGTGTACACACCTTTAAAGAAAAGGAAAAGAAAGAGAGAGAAAAAAAAGACAAAACACGGAATATGTGCTACTAAAGCATTTAACCCTCTCAGGCTCAAATTAAGTTTTAGTAACAGGAAAAAACTGATATTTGGGGAAAATTATCATATGATCCTCACTTTTTTTTTTGAGAGACCTTCACATCCAGTGTGTTCTGGGATGTTGCAGATTTGCAGCATTGGTCCGGTGTGGTAAATTAACACTGAAGACTGAAAATGATATGAACGCACTAACTTTATGTGTTTACCACTTTTCATAACAATGAAAACATAAAGCACAGTGTAACAGCTTTACAGTGGCAGAACAACATCACTTTTTCGTGTGGTGCTCCAAGAAAATTTTTTTATCCTTTATAAAGCACAAAAATACTTATATGCGTGTAGCCGTTCTCGCACAGTCTGCATTGTCCACATTTATCAGGGAAAACAGGCTCCTGAGTAAAAAAGGCTCATAAAATATGGATGTGGAGTAAGTAGGTAATTGGCATTTAGCTGTTGCAAATCTGCAACACCTGCCTGGAGAGGGTTAACATAGATATATCAACCTCTCGATACCCATGTATACATGTGATAAGACTACACAGCTCATGGGGTCACCTCCAATGTCAGAGACATGACATGATCAATAAAAGGTAACCAGGCTTCAGTAAATTTAGAGCCAGAGCCTTTGAGAGTGTCTTATTTTTTTCAGTTTCATAAATGAGAGGGCATCTTTTATCCACTGGGAGTGGGTGGGTGGGTGAGGATCTTTCCAGTGTATTAGGACCAACAGTGTAAGAAAAGCTACCAGGTCAACAAAACAGGGTGACAAGGAGTGATCGACTGGAAGAATCCCAAAGAGAGCGGTCAATGGGGACCTAACCCTAACCCTAACTCTAGCATTGCAAACAACTGACACAAACTCAAAAATAGTGTCCCAATATGTAGATAATGCAGGACAGGTTAGAAACATGTGAGTGAGATGAGCTGGGCTGATTTGCATTTTTCCACAGTTAGGATCAGTACCTGGGAAGATTCGGGCAAGCTTACTCTTTGACCAGTGCATGTTTTTATCTCTCTTGATCACTGGGCCTCGAGGAACACGTTTCGTTCTGTCACATGTTTCTCTCGCATGTTTGAATGACAAATAAAGAACCTTGAACCTCGATTAGACATGGCCAAATTGTTTGTTATAATTTGCTGTTTTGATTCTCAGATCAGCCTTTCAGATTCATGCAGCTAAAACCTAGAACAGTCTTCCTGAAGATGTGAGACAGGCCTCTGACTCTGTTTAAATCCAGATTCAAAACAGTTCTGTTAAGCTGCGTTTGACTGAAAGGTTTTCATTCTGCACTCTTCTCTCTCATTTAATGTCTCTCTTTTTAATTGAATCATGATTATTTATGTTTGGATTTGTTTGTATTGTGATTTTAATGTATTTCTTATTCTGTAAAGCACTTTGAATGACTTGAAAGCTTTGTGTACGGATTGTGCTGTACAAATAAACTTGTCTTGTCTTGCATTATAATTGAAAGCAGATAATCAGAAAGCAGAATCAGCCTCACACGACGCTCTCATTTGTGTTCCCAGTTTCAGTTCCGAAATCCAGGTGGTTTAAACCTAAAATGCCTCTCTGATCTGAATGGTCACTGCCTAAACCCCGGCACCTGCAGACAGCCATGAGTCAGAGCTAGTGCAGCGTCTGCAGCTCAGGGAGGGAATTCTGGAGGTTCTGAGCGTCACATGAGGCCTGAACATAAACGGAGAATGAGACACACATGGATGTGTCTTTATCTGCAGGTTAAAGCTGTGGGAACACAGGTTCAGCTCTGATTGTAGTAATCTTTTTAAAACCTGTAAGAGCACAGGCTACATACAGTGTCTTTAACGACCTAGCTCAGTTAGGCCCAATCTCGTGAGAAGAGACTCGTGTTGTCACGATACTAACATTTCTAACTTGATTTCAATGCTAAGGAACAGAGGTGGGATGTGGGAAGTCATTTTTCAAGTCTCAAGTAAGTCTCAAATCTTTGACCTCAAGTCTGAGTCAAGTCCCAAGTCAAATACAGGCAGGTCTAAGTCGAGTCTCAAGTCACTGGCCCATAAGTCCAAGTCAAGTCCAAGTCGTCTGCTTTAAGCCTCAAGTCATTTCAAGTCTTTAAACCAAAGTAACAAATACAACTTAGATTTTTTCAGTTTATAGAATTTTAAACTAAATTGTACTTTATTGTATTTTTATAAGTATTTATATAAGAGTATTTATATAAATGTCTTGTCAAGATTTTAGTGTGAATCATTACGGTCAGAAAGAAATAATTCAGATTTAAAATGCTTAATAACAGTTATTTTGTCATGAAAAATCATGTTCTCTGTAGTTGTACTGTATATTACTGTATTGTACTGTATATTACTGTAGTACATTTGAGGATACCATATCACAGTACTTCAGTTACATCCAAAGTAACAAACAGAGAAGTGGGAGGGACATGTTCCACTTTGTGTGTGTACAATTAAGCATTGCATTTATCAACTGTAAAGAGAAAAGTATTTTCTAAAAACATATTTTTTTAGGAGAAGCATTAAGTCTTCTTAAGTCACAGGCCTCAAGTCTGAGTCAAATCCCAAGTCTCAAGTCCTAAAAACTGTGACTCAAGTCTGACTCGAGTCCAAGTCACGACTCACAAGTCCCACATCTGCTAAAGAATAAACTCAATACCAGTTCTGATACCACAATAATACGATAAAAACACTCTTTCTTTAGACAATAGAATGTGATTTTCTACATTTCTACATTAAATCATAGTATTTTCTTTTCTGTTACCATGTGATTTTATATGTATGTCCAGGTAGGTGTCATAGTGCTCCATGGGTGTATACTAGTCTATGTGCTCTTATACTTCTGATACAGCTCAAGATCATTCTAATTTCTGTCCAGTGAATCTGCTTTTCCGTACTTTTTACAACCCTACCCCAAAATACATCATCATTAATAAATCCTCAATCTCCAATTACTTCATTTTGTCTTCAAAGTGCCATTCCAATACCGTAAAAAAAACATAATATACAAAGTCCACAACTGCAAACTTTGATTACTTCAAAGTCATCACATAAAAAGTCCATCGGTTCAGCCACTCATTACAATTTGATTTTCACTGCATGGAAGAACATTTAATTTTAAGACCAGCCTACTTTTATTGATTTAGAAAAGTGGCTGAGTGTGCGTGTCAGGGCAGATCTGGGTAATCTCCGGAGAGTGGACAATCAGATAAGCAGCAAAGTGAATAATAATAAATGATGAATGAAGGGACAAGTTTGGCAAAGTTCAAGCTGATTCCATTACACCAGAATAGCTCCTGTAGATAGATGTTGAGTCGCTCGACAAAGTTTCAAGGTCCTGTGTTACGCAAAATGAACTCTTGTGAGATTTAAGCCGTTTTAGAATGTTTTACCTCATTAAAAACATACACTGAGTTGAGTTTTGTTTCATTCACATGTTTGAGTGATCCTTGATTGCCGTATTTTTCAGACTATAAGTGGCACTTTTTTTCATGGATTGGGTGTTTCCGCTGCGACATAGGCTACGTTCACACTGCAGGGCTTAATTAACGCTTAACGCTTAATTCCGTTTTTTTTGTGAAATCTGATGTTTTTGCGAGGTCGTTCACATTTCCAATTAAATGCGACTTGTATGTGACTCCAGTTTGAACAGTAAACGGTCCAAAAGTGTCCCGCATGCGCAGTGGAGACACGACGACGTCAACCGCAGCGAGCGTGCTCTGTGTTTAAGTTGTCCAAA